AACAGAGGGACATCAGAGCCACTCTTGTGTTGGTAGGGGAATTATTACAATTCCTATGCTTGTTGCCTGGTTTATTTTAAGTCTGGCCCAATTTCTTTTAATGTGCATGGTGTGTTGTTCATTTGTATGGTTGCAGTTTGCAAGCAAAGAATATTTCAGTATTCAGTATTTTGGAACCATCTGAGAGCGTCTAAGAAAATATGTGCAGAAAAAAAATTTAATGACTGTAATTACTCTCGAAAAGAGTAAAGAGAAACTCATTCTTTGCTTTTTAAAATTTCAGTAATAGATACTTTTCCTCCAAAACCCAAACAGGCTCTCTAATGGGCAGATGAATTATCCCTCTTGAAGTCAAAGTTCATGGATTGCTTTCTGAAAAGGCAGCTGCATCACAGTGGCTCACTTATTTTCCACACTCTTCCCTCTCCTTTTTATAAAGAAAAAGGCAACCAGTCTTCAGGGAGGATACTGTACAGCTTCAAAAAGTGCCACAATAAACAAGATTTATTTTCATTGAATGTGTTGTGAGAAAATGGGAAGCATGCTGTGAGGTAATGGTGAAATAATCACTGATATCTCCAAACACTTTCCCCTGATAAAATGGAAGAAAATGTAAAGTTAGCTTCCATCTAATTATGACTAAAGAAAGATGTGTGCATAAATATTCTAGCAGAAATATTTTTCTAAAAAACTATTGAATTCTTCCTCTATAAAAAAAGGGGACCAGTCTTGAAAGCTTCTTGTCGTTCTAGAGATCTGTTCTTTGGAATTGCTGAGTGTTATGGGAATTTTATTAGTCTATAAAATAAGGTAGTGTGGATTGTGACACAAAAGTGATGGTTTATCTTCCCACTATTCTTTTTTTCCAGCTCTCTTATATAAGTGTGGTGAAAAGATGTATATCAAAATCACTAAGCACTTTCTACATGAGCAATGCAGTGGCATTAATTACACTTTCAAATTGTGCAGCCATTCTCATAAATCTTTTTCTGCCCTTTTCCAAATCATTCCACAAACCTTTACAAGGAAGACAGTGCCCCCATAGCCATTATTCTCCCTTAAAATCTCCTCCCACTCTTCTCAGTGTAGATGGGAATCTTAATTTACTTCATTGGCTGTGGTCTATGTAGAGCCCTGGTGGCATAGTAGGTTAACTCTTGGGCTGCTAACGTTGAAAGGTTGGCTGTTGAAACCCACTGGTCACTCTGCAGGAGAAAGTTGTTGTGGTCTTCCCGATGCATTTCCACAGTGCAACTCTTTGCCAGCCGGTGGGAACTAATTCCTAGCTGACCCTCCAGCAGGTTATCAGAGGCTATAAAATTACACAGGAGGAGATTGTACATTTTCTTCCACTGAGCTACTGATGGATTTAAACTGATCACCTTTAGTTAGCAGCCCAACTCTTTATGGACTCCACCATCACAGAGCTCCTGTTAAATTTGTTGTTGTTGTTAAGTGCTGTCAAGTCGTAGATGACTCATAGCAACCCTATGAATGAAAACCTGAACACTTATATAACTTTCATCATTTCTCCAAGTTCATAGGGTTTTTGGAAGCAAGCTATTTCGGAAGTGGATGCCACTCCCGCTTCCAGACTTGTTTTAATCAGGGAGCTCCACCAAACACTGTCCACCATGGGTAACCATTATAGCATTTAACACATCAGAGTCCCGGTGTTCAGCATCGCAGCAACCACAAGTTACCTCTGTACAGCAATGCACAGGCCAGTGCTGTACCACTTAGAAGCATATTTGACCAAAACCAATTAAAACCATACATGAGGGCTGCAGATTAAAATCACCCACCTTTGGCTTGGTAGCCTCACTTTCTGTCCACGAGGCCAACAGAGCTCTTTCTATGTTATTGTTGTTAAGTGCCATTGACATTTTGGGTCATGTTATATATACTTCATCTAAACCTAATGCTTGGAAGGAGGAGTGGCATCCACTTCCATAATAGCTTGGCTCCGGAAACCCTATGAACCTGGAGAAAGGATGAAAGACACACAAGCGTTGAGGACTGTCCTTCATATGGTCCCTATGAGTTGCCTGCAACTGGGCGGCACTTAACAACAACAGCAAACCTAATGCAGGGTTACCATGAGTTGGAGTTAAATCAGTGGCAGTGGGATTTTGTTGATCGTGTGTAGAAGACATTGTTTTTATTTCTCTTCATCTAGGAGCTGGGGCCTGGATCCTTGTTACTCTTTGTCTCTTGCCATTGAGTTGTTTCCAACACATGATCATCCCATTTTGTGAAGTAGAACTACTCTATAGGACATTCAAAGGCTGTGACTTTGCAGAAACACGTTATTGAAAGGCTTGTTTTCTGAGGTGCCTCTCAGTGGGTTTTCACTGTCAGCCTTAGTGAAGGCTCCTTATTGGAGCCTCTCTTGAGAACGTGTTGGTATTTTGAATATCCTGATGAGCTATCTTTTGGGTCAATATTAAAGGCTCCAGGCCTGGGTTTTGGACAGAGCCTAGAAAAAGCTCAGAAATCTCTTAATAGTTTGAGGGCAAGTGCTCTGCAAGTTAAACTCAGAGTGTTTTGGAGTAGTTTGCAAAGCAGGAAACTGTTCTATTGTTTGTTCATAAAACATGCCTGTTTTCTATTCAGGTACTTTTTGTGTCCTGGAAGGGTCTTGGTATGACTTTGATGTATTTAAAATAAACTCGTGGGAACCTAAGTGTTTGTGTATTCCTCTTCTGTGGATTAATATCTTAAATAACTCACAAAGAACTAACTGAAGTTGGTTGATATGTGTGTTCTTTTTAACTCTTAAATGAAGTTTCCATAAAGTAAAAGTCAAAGAATTGCTGGCATCGAGAGTAAACATAAAGAATTTCTACATTCTCCAGTTGTTGGTGGTGCCATCAAGTTGCGTATAATTCACAGTGACCCTATGAATAACAGATCTCAACTCTGTCCTATCTTGTGCCATCCTTATCTTCTCTAATATATTCAAATCACTGTCAGTTTTCCTCTTTTCTGAAGACCTTTCACCTTTCCAAGCATGATGTCCTTTTCCTCTCCTAATAATATGCCCAAAGTATGTGAGACAAAGATTCACCATCTTTGACTCTAAGAAGCACTCTGGCTGCACTTTCCCCAAGACATATTTGTTTGTTCTTTTGATAGTACATGCGGCACTCAGCATTCTTCCCCAACACCTCAACTCAAGGACATTGATCTTTCTACTGTCATCCTTATTCACTGTCTAACTCTTGGTACATAGCAGGTGATGAAAAAGACCATGGCTTGAATCAGGCACACCTTAGTCTTTAAACTGACATCTTTGTTCTTCAGTACTTAAGCATGTTCCTGGACAGGGACTTTCCCAATGCTATTTGATTTATTTGCTATTTTGATTTTCCCAGTACTCTTGGTTTCTTGACTGCTGATACCAACAGTGTTGATTGTGGATCTAAGCAAGATGAAATAACTGACAACATCACTGTTTTTACCACTTGTCATGATGTTGCCTATTGGCCCAGTGGTGAGACTTTTTATTTTCTTCATGTTGAGATGTAATCCATATTGCAACAAGTGTTTCAAGTCCTCCTCACTTGAAGCAAGCAAGTTTGTGTCATCTGTATAACATCTCATCAAAGGTTATTGATGAGTCTTCCTCCAATCCTGATACCATCTCCTTCTTTATAAAGCCAAGCTTCCTGAATGACATACTCAGCATACAGCTTGAACAGTTATGGAGAAAAGGGACAACCCTGACACATGCCTTTCTTGATATTAAACCGTGCAAGTGTTCCTTTGTTCTGTTCATACAACAGCTTCTTGGTCTAAGTGTAGGTTTTCTCATAAGCACAGTTAAATGTTCTGTAATTCTCATTCTTCTCAATGTTAGCCATAATTTTTATGAAACACACAGTCAAATGCTTTTATGTAGTCAATAAAACACAAGTAGACATTCTTTCGATATTTACTTTCAACCAAGATCCCTCTGACATAGGCAATGATACTTCTGGTGCCATGGACTGTTTTAAACCCAGCATGAACTTCTTGAAGTTCTCTATCAAGTACTATTCTAGCTATTTTTGGATGATCTTCAGCAATATTTTACTTGCATCTGATATAAACGATACCATTTTATAATTTTCATTCTATTAGATCACCTTTTTTGAGAATGGGGACAAATATGCATCTTTTCTAGTCAGTTGTCCAGGTAACTGTCTTCCAAATTTCCTGACACATATTGATGAGCATGTCCTGGTGTTTTTGTTCATAAGGTACTTATTGAAAGATTTAAAAGATTTCAAAAATAAATATTTCAAAAGAAGATGTAGGGAATAGATGGAGTCATTGTACCAAAAAGAATTGGTTGACAGCATAATATTTCAGGAAGCATAAGCAAGAGCATATACTTTCTCTTAGCATCTGTTTAAAAGCCTGTCACTCTAGCACCAATAATGAATGTCCTTAAAGAAAAAGCACATCTTTAGTTCAATTATGGATAATTCAATTTCTTTCCATTCTCAAAGGCATTTACTGAAAGAAGAGGAGTCCTTGGGCATTGTTCTGTGTAATTAGCTTTTTACACCTTTGTATTGTGAATTGGGATTTCTGATTTCTTCACCCTAAGGTATAAAGCGATAGTATTTAGCAATGTAAGATTATATTGCTGATGTCATAATTCACTGAAACTTTTAAACATCTATAACTGAGAAACTCTGGGGATAAAATAAGCAGTTTAAAGGTGTATTTTGTAAATATTAAAAACATTCTACTTTTTATTGTGCCTCCTCTGGTTCTCCACCATCCATCTGTCCAGTTGCTGCATTGTCATGGCTTGTGTGTTGCTGTATTGCTGGGAGCTATGCGACTAGCAGTTCAGATATTAGCAAGGTCACTCATGGTGGCCAGTCTTTAGTGGAGCTTCCAGATGAAGGCAGACTAGAAAGGAAGGTTTGTTGTCTACTTCTAAAAATCAGCCAATTAAAATCTTATGGATCATAATAAAACATTTTCTAAAATAGTGCAAGAATATGCACATCCTAGATCGGAATGGTAAGTGTGCTAAGGGTGGTAAATCATTTCATGCTTTTGAACATGGGTTGTCATGGGTTTCAGCTGACAAGACAACATTTAACAGCAGCAACATCTGGTTCTCAAAATTAATCTTCAAAAAAAATTAATCTTCACCTGCAAACCTCAGCATTTTATCACATTGTGCCAAAGTCCTAATCCCATCATAGACTTGCCCTAGTTCCTAGTAATAACCACTTTGTATTTAAAAATATTTTCAAATGCTTGATTTTTCTCCCTGTAAGAACTGAGAATTGGAATTTCTTTTTTAATGGTGTAGGGGAAACCAAAGATGAAATGATAACTAAATAAACCTGGATACAGAACATAGTAATTTCAACCATTTAAAAACATAATTGAAGAATGTCTTGGAGTAAATATAGCAAAAATAATGTTTTAAATAGATTTTTATACTTATGAGCTTATTTCCTTAAAGAAATTGAAATAAGAATAATTGTGTATTTCACAGATGACTTTGAATTAGATATGTGTTGACAGTGTGAATGATTAGGGAACTGGGACTAATTGACTTATATACTATCTCTCAAGGAAGAGAACTAGTGATAAAGAATAGATTTGAATTGAGCTTCTGCAGGACTGAGAGGATAACCAGCAACTTTGTAGAATGTAAAAAAAAGATAAAATTACAAATCTCTTAGGTTCTTTATACTTCATGTCCATTTAACCTAGATTTTATATACTTTCTGTGATCTCAGATTTGCCAGTGAAAAATTTAAAAAAATAAAGACAGGCATTTTAAAAGTCCTATCAATAATTTATCTACAATCATTAAAGGAATTAACTTGCAAGAGTTCAATTTTTTCCTTTTAACAAATATGAGTTGAGCTTTGAGAGTATATATTTACAATTATAAATATTCAAGTTGAAAACCATATCTTTTCCATTTCTTGGTGAACTGGCATGGATTTCATTATAATAATGAACGTGTAATTTGTTTTACTCTTAGGTATTTAGACAGTAATTCTTTTATTCATGAAGCAAATATTTGCCGAGTATATAAATACATTCTTGAAGGATAAGATGTATTTAAACAGCTGTAGCAAAAGTGATACACGATTTTGGAAGAATACAAAAAAGGGTGAGATTGTAAGCAGCTAGAGAGATCTGACAAAGTTCTATAGGTTGGTATTTTCCCCTGGGTGTGAAGGGCCTAAAAGTGGGCTTTCCCCACCATTTTAGAGGTGAAAAGCAGAGCAAAGTCACGGGAAAATGAAAAGGACAGTTGGTGCCAGACCAAGAGCCATTGATGCTGAGCTGTGAGGTTGGAGTTGCCTTTCTAGGCTGTAGAAAACCACTGAAGGTTTTTACAAAGGATTTTTACATCATCTGGTAGCAACACATAAGTGAAAATATGTCAGACTAGAATGCAGCAGATGGTATTTCTGTGACAAAGGTGTGTGCCTCTCATGGCTTTCAAGACTTGGTCCTGAAGATGGGTACAAATTCTAGCATTTGGACCTTGGTAATTTGTGCCAGTTTTCATTAGGTGTGAGTATATGATGCCAGTTTGGATTCAGCTTCTGCTGTATTGATTGATTCACCCTAAATTCTAACCACTTCCCAGAATCATGCTCTGCCTCACAAAGCAAAGTTTGGTTTCTTTCCAAACATTCTCTCAGATATGAGTGTCAGCCCTAGGTGTTCCCTTCACCTTCCTTAGCTTTAACTATCTTCTTGTTTAGAATTGAGAACTGTGGAGCTTTTTAGTTCTTCTTCCCTTTTGTAAATGCTAATATAGGGGCACACCAGTGGCACAGCTTTCAGAATCACAGCAACCACAAGTTATCTTAGCACAGCAAATTGGCAGACAAGTGCTGTATCACTTAGAATGATGTTCTCTCCAGGACTGTGTGCCCAGCTGACTTTTAAATACAAAGGCCTGCCCAGAAGGTCCTAATTGCTTAAACAAGAGGATTCCAGCTCACAACTGATTGCTAACAAAATCACAATGGCCAATCATCTTATTAACAAAATTAAAAAATGCCCAGTTTACACCTGCTTTCAAGTAAATCAAAACAACTTACCCTCCAGAATCTAACTGCTCCAAGAAGACGACTCTCAGGCAGGGCCCAACCAACTTTTAAATACAAAGACACCCCCCCCCCAGGTCCTGATTGCATAAACAAGAGGCTTCCAGCCTACTGCTGATTGTTAACTAAATCACAAAGACTAATCAGCTTACGCTTGATTGTTAGCAAATTAAAAATGTGCCCAAACAGTTTGCACCCAAATTTTAATTAAAACAAAACAGCTGAGGAAGACTTGAAGCACTATTGCCAAAGATAAAGGAATGTAGCCCTTGGTATGGATTGCATCTCAGTGTAAAGAGAACAAAAGATTCTTACCATTGAACCTACAGGGAACATCGTGATGAATGGAGAGGAGATTTAAACTGTCAACAACTTCATTTTGCTTGGATCCACAATTATATTCTTGGTACCTAAAGTCAGGAAATAAAGAGATACATTGCACTGGGGAAATCTGCTGCGAGGAACCTCTACTAATTATTGAGTAGTGATGTCAGTTGGAGGACTACCGTAGTCTTTCCAATCACTTACTAAGCATCTGAGAGGTGGACAATGAATAAGGATGATAGAAGAAGAATTGGCACCTTTGAGCTGTGGAGTTGGAGAAGAGCACTGAACGTTGACATCTCAATAACAGACAAGAGAACAAACAGATATATCTTAGAGGGTACTGCTGGAGTGCTTATCGAAGGCAAGAATGATGAGACTTCACCTCACATACTTTGGGCCTGTTGCTTGGAAGGTCTATTCCTTGGAGAAGGATGTGGTGCTGGGAAGAGTGGAGGGTTGTTGAAGAAAAGGAAGACCCTCAATCAGGTGGATTAACATGATGACTACCTCAGGCTCTTGTGTGTCGAGAAGTGAGAGTATGGCACAGGATAGGACAGGGTGCAGATCTTTTGTTTAAGGGCTTGCTATGAGTCATACTTGACTTGATGGCACCTAACAATAAGAACGAGATAGGGAACTCTGGTTGCCTCATGATAAGGAGCTATGCTGCCAACCCAAAGCCCTGTGATTTGAACCCACCAGCTGCTCCACAGGAGAAAGAGAGGCAGTCTCCTCCCATACAGTTTACAGCCTCTGAAAACCTGCAACAGGGTCAATTATGACTCTGTTCCAACTTTGTGGTATGTAACAACAGTGCTTAGAGAGAGCAGATTAAGGAACTTGTACAATTTTACAGTGTTTTTGAAAGTGTAGAAGGAAGCTAGGATTGAGAAGCTGGCAGGTAGTAGAGATGAGAATTGAATCCACATCTGTCTCACTTGAGACTTCAGCTAACAGTAACTAATAGTGATATATTGTCGCAACACCTGGATTTGTTCTCATTCTCAAGGTCATTATTTCAGGTGATCCCGTATTTTGTTTTAAAACTGGTAGCCATTGTAGATTTCAACTCAAAGTGACCCTGTTGGACACAGCAAGAACTATCCTATATTGGATTTCCAAAACTTTGATCACGAAGTGGGCAGACTGCCTTCTCTTTCTTTCACAGAGCATCTGGTATGTTCAAACTGTCAAACTTCTATTAATGGATGAGCACTTAACCACTGTGTCACCAGGGCTCTTTAAGATCTTTTGAGGGTTGTTGTTGGTAGGTGCCATCAAGTCGATTCTGATCCATAGTGACACTATGAACAAGAGATCTGAACCCTGTCCTATCCTGTGCCATCCTCATCACCTCTGACACACACCCATTACTGCAGTCACTGTATTAATCCATCTACATTGTCAAGGGTCTTTCTCTCTCTGGCCAGATAGCTTTCAGTTATTTTCCCAAAGAGCTAAAAATATTGTTGAGGGTTTTATTTATGTTTTGACCTAGTTTCTAAGTTAATTACTCAGGAAAACTATGATTTTTTCTTTTGTAACTGCTACCCAAATCGATTATATCTGTAGCAAGAATCTCTGGCGAGCTCAGTATCAGCTGTGAAAGCTAGGTCGGGTGCTGATTGTGGAACAGACCACCAACTACTCATATGCAAGGTCAAACTGAAGCTGAGGAAAATTAAATCTAGTCCACGGGAACCAAAATTTGATCTTGAGTCTATCCCACCTGAATTTCAAACCCATCTTAGGAACAGGTTTGAGGCCTTGAACACCAATGAGTGAAGACCAGATGAGCTGTGGGGAGGATATCACGAATATCATCCAGGAAGAATGCAAAAGGTCATTACAAAGACAGAGGAGGAAGAAAAGACCAAGAAGGATGTCAAAAGAGACTCTGAATATTGCACTAGAGCACCTAGAAGCCAAATCAAAGGGAAGAAATCAAGAACTTAAGGAGATAACCAGAAGATTTCAAAGGGGGTAGCACAGAAAGACAGTATTTTAATGAAATGTGCAAAGAGCTGGAGTCAGAAAATCAAAGGGATCAAACTCGCTCAGCATTTTTTAAGTGGAAGGAACTGAAGAACAAATCCAAGCATCGAGTTGCAATAATTAATGATGCTTTGGGCAGAATATTAACTCCAGAAAGCATTAAAGGAAGATGGACAGAGTTTACAGAGTCATTGTAACAAAAGAAATTTTCAGACAGAGAAGAATTTCATGAAACAATTATGACCAAGAGCCTGTGATGTTGAAGGAAGAAGGTCAATCTGCTCTGAAAAAATTGCTGAAAAACAAGACCCCAGGAATTGATGGCATACCAATTAACATATTTCAATAAAGAGACATTGCCCTGGATGTGTTCACTAAATTGTGTCAAGAAATCTGGAGGACAACTGCCTGACCAACTGACTGGAAGAGATGTATGTTCCAATTCTAAAGAAAGGTTACCTGACAGAGTGAGTAAATTATTGAACATTATCATTAATATCACATGCAAGCAAGATTCTGTTGAAAATGACCCAAAAAATGACTGGACAATGAATGAATGGAAATCCAAATCCTCTGTAAATGTTCATTAAAATTATTAAAAAACACACACACAAAAACGACTGGAACAACACATCAACAGAGAACTGTCAGATGTTCAGGCTGGGTTTAGGTCATGGTACTAGGGATGTTATAGCTAGTATTAGATGGATCTTGGCTGAAAGCAAAGAGTACCAGGCGAATGTTTATCTGTGTTTCATTAACTATGCAAAGGCATTGACTGTATGGATCACAGCAAACTGTGGTTTAGAAGAATAGGAATCCTAGAACACTTGATTGTGCTTATGCAAAATCTATACTTAGACCAAGAGGCAGTCATCAGAACAGAGCAAGGAAACACTGCATGATTCAGAATTGGGAAAGGTGTATGCCAGGGATGTGTACACTCTCCATACCTTTTCAGTCTATATGCAGAACAGATTATCTGGAAGGCTGGACTAGATGAAGAGAAATGTGACATCAGAATTGGAGGAAGATTAATCAACAATCTGTGTTAACGCAGATGACACAACCCTGCTTGCTAAAACTGAGAAGGATCTGAAGGGCATGCTGCAGAAGATCAAGGACTGCAGCCTTCAATATGGATTAAAGTTCAACATCAAGAAAATAAAGATTTTCACCGCTGGGCTGATTGGAAGCATCATGATAGATGATGAAGAGATTGAGATTGTTAACAGCTTCAGATTCTTGGCTCTACAATAAACACTCTTAGTATCAGCAGCCAGGAAATAAAAAGACGAATTGCATTGGGAAAGTCTGCTGTCAGAGACCTCTCCAAAGTACTGAAGAGCGATGATGTCAGTCTAGAGACTAAAGTGTGCCTGATCTAGGCCATAATCTTTGCAATTACTTGCTATGCATTAGAAAGCTGGACAATGACTAGGGTTGATAGAGAATTGATGCCTTTGAACTGTGGTATTGGAGAGGAGTATTGAATACCATGGACTGCTAGGAGAACAAACAGGTTCATTCTAGAGAGGGTGAAACCAGGCTGATCTTTGAAGGCAAGGATTCTGAAGCTTTGTCTGACATACTTTGGACTTGTTACAAGGAGGAACCAGTCCTTGAGAGAGGCATCATGCTTGGAGGGTGGAGAGACAGTGCAAGAGAGGAAGACCCTGGATGAGATGGATTGATTTAGTGACTCGGGTAATGGGAGTAGGTGTTTCAGAGACAATAAGATTGGTACAGGATAGAGCATGGTATAGTCACTATGAGTCACAAGCAACTCGATGGCACATAACAACAACAACCAACAATGCCCTGGGAAATGTACTGATTGTAGCGTATGCAGATATTCAAATGTCAGAAGCATATTCCTCATCTTTGGGAGGGAGTGGTGGCATCCTAGCACCTCAGTAGATGCAAGAGTTTCCTGGAGGAGCTTCAGTGATGATGGATCAGGAAATCTGGTTCAAAGGTTTGTAGGGCTCATTGTGAAACTCTGTCAAACTCCTTCTTTCATTTCAATACAAGTGCTTGCAAGAGTGCAAAAATTAGCATCAGAAGTAAGCATGCTATTATTTTGATGGATGAAGTATGAGAGTGCTTGACTTTAAAGGGCACTTTCAGTTAACCATTTATATATTCCAATGAAATGAAACTCATTTTCATGATGTGATTTTTCAAAACATACCCTATTCTTAAGCAAGAAAATTATAAACAAGAGTATAACCTTTACTGCTTATATGCTGTATAAATGCTAATAAAATAACAACCAATTAGATGGTTAATAAAACCTGAGCACATTAAAGTATTAAATTACAAATACTGATTAATAGTAATAGTATAAATTAAAAAACCAAGTAAAAGCATACACAATCCAAATTATAGGAGTTTTTATGTGCATTTCTACAAAATCTATTATTGGTTGACTTCATAGCACCTTACAAGTTATAATTATTAAAGCCCATAAATATGAACCATAAATAACATTTTATTGAGTAGCTAAGAATTGCCTTTTAACTCATACACATCACAAGGCCTAAATGCTTGAGGTGTAGCATTCCCATATACAACCTTTTTACAAGACAGGAGTTTTTTGCTATGAAGCTACAAGCCTAGGAGCTGGTAGCTATGGATTTAGGATTCACATATTGATTGTTTTAATCCATATGATTACAATCCTTCAGCTATCTTTGAAATCCTACATGCATAGTAGGTCTGTACAGATCTTGCCAACATGTTGTATTTTAATATTTCTCTGTTGGCTAAAACATCAAATTTGAAAACCAGAAAATCTGCTCAGTTGACATGAAAATATTTTAAAATGTTTTGGATTGTTACAGATTTATTTGTATTCATGCTGATATATTATTCTGAGGACGACCAGTTTGTAAGCAGTAGAAGAGAACTTTGTCAAAAGTACTTTGACTGCCATGAAGACTTCATGTCTTTGCCTTTTCCTCCTTCTTCTTTCTTTTCTTTGCTATTCCCTCACTTCAAAGTAAGCACTGATGGTTTCTAGTGACACTCAAAGATTATTTCTAGTTCCTGCCTCTCTTGCTCCAATCCCTGTGTTCTCCCCACTTGGCCAACACACCACTATTACCAGTTCCTTTCAAATTGATGCCAGCTCCCTACAGCCCCCTATGTGTCAGTAGAACTGTGCTCCATCCGTTCTTCCATAGCTGACTTTTGGAAACAAGACTGCGAGCACTTCCTTCCAAGGCACCACTGATGCCTTCAAACCATGGCCCTTTTGATTAGCAATTCAGCACTTTCGACTATTTGCATCTACCAGGGACTCCACACATACTCAGTTTACTTTCTTCAGGGGCTGCGAAACACACTCTTGCAACTGATAGCCATTATGGCTTCTAATCCTAATTTTTAAATTCTGATTTTCTGTCTCCTCTCCAGGCAAAACTGAAGCTGTTATCAAAAACTTCAGTCCCTACTACAGTCGGCAGTATTCTGTGGCTTTTTGCAATCATGTGCGAAGTGAAGTAGAACAGCACAGAGATTTACGATCACAGTTTTTGAAGATCAAGGTAACCCAAGGGCATTTGGTATACATATTTCTCCTACAGAGGAAAGCTTTATAACTCATAATATTTCTGGGATGAATAATAATTTGAATAATGTCTTTTTAATAATCTGCTCTAAAATAATCTCATGCTAAAAAAGAAATTCCACTGGCCTGGAATTTAGAACATATGATTTGTTATTAATATGTAAGCCATTTAAAAAGAAAACTATTGTAATTTCAATTTTATAATGTAGCTCCTTTCCACTGTTCGGAAATTTGACTTGCTGTAGTGCAAGAGGGAGAAAGTTCCCCTTTGGGGAACTTTTCTTGATCCTTGATCAAATATGATGTTCTTTCCCAATCCCCTACATTCATTCTTTTTCCTTTGCTCCATTATAATCCTGATTCACTACCTCATCTGATAGTTATTGAGCACTTTTCCAGACCTCATTGTAGGGACGCAGAGCCCCAGTGGTGCAGTGGTTAAGTGCTGTGCTGCTAACTTAAAGATCTATGGCTGAAACCCTTCATTAGAGAAAGATGCGCAATCTGTTCTCTGCAAGTTGTTGTTATTAGATGTTATCAACTCAACTCTGATGCATAGCACTGCTGCATATAACAGGATGACACCTAGTATGATCCTGCACCAATCCCTAAAGGGTTACAGTCTTGAGAACTCTTTAAGACAGTGCTCTTCTGTCCTATTGGAAATGCTATGAGTCCTCACTGTTAAATTGGTGTTCTGTGGAGTAGAGGGACAAGACAAATTTTTTCCTGGAATTTCCCTCCAATCAGGAAGATGCTGAGGGATTCGAATCACTAGAGAGGTTTAGCCTTTGAATTCACTGGGCAGCTTCCTTCAGACTACAGCCCCAGAACTCCTCATCTTACTTTTTAGTGAGCGAGGGAGAAAGAAGACTGTGTCATTACCCACAATGGCAGGATACTAAGCACTGGAATGTAGAAGATAATTTATTTCCTCTCTTAGATAATTCATAAAAGAGATGGGCATATCTCTCTTCTCTCTCTGCTTTATATACCTTCCCCCCTCCTCAAAGAAGGGAGGTAAGTTTCTAAAAGCACTAAGGCTCTTTGAATAAAGGGAAAACTAAATCCAGTAAAAGCCACAAAGAAAAACTGGAGACTTCTTTCCACAGTTTGAAATAACATAGGCATCACGGCAAAGTCGGACTTCCTCATCCCACCATAAGCCCAGTGGAAGTCTAACTAGGAGATTAACTGATCACAGGACAGATGGCTCCAGGGTAAATGGAAAAACTTCAACCTTTTAAATATAAGAAGTGGAACTGAAGTGTGCTGGCCTGATGCCCACTTACTTTTTACTGAAATAATTTCCCCTTGAGAAGCTTGACGATGGCTTAAATGTTTATAGGTTGAGTCTCATGTTCTGTTTTTTCTTTCTGGGAAAACCCTTAAGCACTGGCTCTTGATACTAAACCTGAAGTAGCTTCCTGATTCTTCTGTTTTCTCAGGAATTAGCAGTAAGACATGGTCGGGGTATTGAAATGGGTTTCTACAGCTTGAGCTTTCTTGCTTCAACTTTGTTTTCCTGCAGTATCAAGCGCTTATGCAGTGCTGGGTGTGAAAGGCACAACCCTACTCCAATAACCAGTTTTGCCACACAGGGCCCCCCCTGAGTAGACTTAGTTATTTTTTTCAATCTGTGATAGTTAATATTATTATTATTTATTTAGCCACCATTGGAGCCTGGAACTGTTTTGTATGAAGCCGAGCTGTCACATTTTGCTGAAGATGTAAGGAAATGGAAGGATCGATACATTGTGGTTAAAAATTATTTTGCCATAGAGAGCTATGAGAACAAAGAGGTAAGACATTTCCCTGTTACCATGGTTCTTGGGATATTCTTAAACACTGGTTAGTTTGTTTCGATCAATTATAGTCACTCATTCAACAACTCATTTCCTTTATTAATGAATACCTAGTATACCAGGGAGCTCTGATAGCCTAGTCCACCGGGACTTGAGCTGATAACCTAAAAGTGCCATCTCCCTGCTAGTTGGATCCACCAGCTTTCTTGGAAGAAAGATGGGAAATCTTCTTCCTGCAATTTATTAGCCTCTGAAAACCCACTGGAAGGTCAAATATCAGTTAGTTCTGACTCTAAGGTAATACTTTTGACTTGACTTCTTTTTATAAAATTATTATTAACTAGTTTGTTTACACACCAGAGGAATGTCTATCTGTGTTTCATTGACTATGCAATGGCATTTGACTGTGTGGATCATAACAAACTGTGGCTGACTCTGAGAAGAATCAGAATTCTAGAACACTTGTTCGGGCTAATGCGAAACCTATACTTGTCAGAACAGAGCAAGGGAACACTGCATGGTTCAAAATTGGGAAGGATGGATGCCAGGGATGCATCCTGTCTCCATACCTTTTCAACCTGTATACAGAACAGATTATCCGGGAGGCTGGGCTCTATGAGGAGAAATGTGGGGTCAAGATTGGTGGATGATCTATCAACAATCTGCATTATGCAGATGACACAACCCTGCTTGCTGAAACTGAGGAGGACCTGAAGCACCTGCTGCAGAGGGTCAAGGACTGCAGCCTCCAATATGGATTGAGGCTCAATGTCAAGAAGACCAAGATTCTCACCACTGGGCCAAGTGGCAATGTCAGGATGGATGGTGAAGAGATTGAGATTGTTCACAGCTTTAGTTTGCTTGGCTCCACAGTCAACACTCTTGGCACCAGTAGCCAGGAAATTAAAAGGCACATTGCCGTGAGAAAGTCTGCTGTTAGGGACCTCTCCAAAGTACTGAAGAGCAATGGTGTCTCCCTGGAGACTAAGGTGCATCTGATACAGGCCATGGTCTTTGCTATCACTTGTTATACATCAGAGAGTTGGACAATGACCAAGGAGGGTAGAAGGAGAATTGATGCCTTTGAGCTGTGGTGCTGGAGAAGAGTATTGAGAGTACCATGGACAGCTAGGAAAACAGATTCATCCTGGAAAGGGTTAAACTGGATGGCTCCTTGGAGGCAAGGATTCTGAGGCTCTGTTTAACATACTTTGGACATGTTGTGAGGAGAGACCAGTCCTTGGAGAGGGACATCATGCTTGGGAGGGTGGAGGGACAGCACAGGAGGGAAAGGCCCTCTATGAGGTGGATTGATTCATTGACTGGGATAATCGGGATGGGAGTGTCAGAGACAGTGTGATTGGCACAGAACGGAGCAGAGTTTAGGGCTATTGTACATAGGGTCGCTATGAGTCACAAGTGACTTGATGGCACATAACAACAACAACAACAACAACAACAGTTTATTTACAAAATTTGAATACATTGTTTTCCAGAGCAGATGCTTCCAATTTCCCTCTCCCTCCCCCATCAAATTGTGCAACTCCATGATTTTGTAAATTATTACCTAACTTGAGAGGGACTGGAGAGCATTATGCTGAGTGAACTAACTCAGTCCCACAAGGATAAATATTGTATAAGACCATTATTGTAGAATGAGTATGAGGATCCAAGGGGGAGGGGGAGGGGGGAAGCAGAGGGATGAGGGTGTGCAGGGGAGGGTGGGTTAATAATGGTATTAATCATGGAGTTGACTTGACTTTTGATGATACAGCAGTGGATCAGACAGATGCTTCTTGTCTAGTGAACCAGACAGACTTAAAGCATGTAATTCCAAATGAGAGTTCAAATGGAAGGTTGTCCTTAGAGAGCAGTATTTGGAGCAGAGCCCTATCCAGAGATCATTTAGCCTGAAGGTCTTTCTTGGTTGTTGTCTTCATGTCTCACTCTCTCCTCTGTGATCCTCCTATCTTCATCCTTGTAAGCCTCATGCATGACTGATAGATGAGGAAATATTCCTTAAGGTTCTAGTTTGTTTGGTTTCCCAGAAAGCCAGACTTTTCATTCCACTTACCTTTATGGGGTTTGTTTTATAAGTTTATAGTAAAACTTAAATAACTGAACTTTTGCCTTTTAGCCATCTTTAAATATACATTTCACTGGCACTCTGCTGGCTTAGTGGGTAATGGAGCTATGCTGTGTTGGTGGTTCAAATCTGCCAGCTGCTCCATGGGAGAAAGACAGGCACCTCCCATGATATTTACAGCCTCTGAAAACCTGCTAGAGGGTCAGCTATAAGTTGGCTCATAGCTTGATGACAAGGAGTGTGAGTGACAGAAGTGTACATTTTAGTGTAATTTCGTTATTTTCACTGTGTTCTACAAACATCACCCCTCTTCCTTTGCAAATGTTTTTTCATTGTCTTAAACAGAAACTCAGTATTAACACCTTTCCTATTTCCCATTTTTTCCTTTCCCTCTCAGTCCTGGCATCCCCTAATAAACTTCTGTCTCTGTGCTTAAACCTACCCTAGATATTTCATTTAAGTAGGATCTTATAATCTTTGTTGGTTTAACAGTGTTTTCAGGGTTCATCCATGTAGTAACACGTATCAGGATGTCATTTCCCTTTATGGCTCAGTAGTATTCCATTGTGTGAATACGTCACATTGTGTTTTCCCAGTCATTTTTAATGCATGCTGGGTTTTTTCTTCCATATGCATTTTTTCATCGACTTAGTCCTAGTTAGTTCATTTTATTTCTTGTCTGTAGAATGTGGAGAAAAAAAGGTGGCATAGCATCTGGGAGAACTCCCATTTTATTAGTTCTCATTTTTCACTCCATATAGGGAGGTAGTATAATTTAGTGGGAGGGACAGTGGGCAGTGAATTAGGGAAACTAAAGTTTGGGTTAAGTTGTGCCAGTAGCTGGAAGTGAATCTATGAATAAGTCTCTTGTCTCTGGGCCTCAATGAAACCAGGAAGTTAGTTTGGATGGTCCCAAGGCTCCTGTCAGATATATTGTATACATTTTTAGTGCACCTAAATTCTCAAGCTCTCTTTGAAATGAAAAGTTATCCATTTACAGGTATAGGTAGTTTTAGATTTAAAACTACTCTCTTGACTGTACAGTTCAGGAGTACTTAGGAAAACCTCCTGAAGAGAGTGTTCTGAATAGAATCACAGATGCTGAACCATCAGGAAGGAGTTCAGGCTGATGTACCAATGTGTTAGCTTCCCATCCCTCCTGGAGAAAGAAAACAATATCGACTTACTCCACAGCCTACCACACAATGCTCAAGTACCCTTTTGGAGTAGTTTTATTATTCTCAATAATCACTAAACTAATATTTTCTACATTAACAAAGCTCTGGTGGCTTAGTAGTAAGGAATTGTTCTGCCAACTAGAAGGTTTGCAGTTCAAATCCATCAGTCATTTATCGAAAGAAAGGTGATCTCCTCCCTGGAGGGCCAGCTGTGAATTTATTCTGAGACTCAATGATACATAACAACAATAGTATCTATGTTAAGATTTACTTAACACTTGATTTGCATTTAAAAAAACAAAACTTACTAACTTTCAGTCAGCTTTTTCTGCTCTTAGTGACCCTTCACTAGGTTTCTACGACTGTGAATAACAGAGAAGCAGACCACCCATCTTTCTCCTTTGGAGTCAGTAGTGAATTGGAACTGCCTTAGAGACTGTCTTTATGTGAGCAATACAACCAGCTACAGGCAGCACCCTCACAGCTCCTCATTGAAAAGCAAATGAGTATATAATACAAGCGATAACAAAGCACTTTACAATGTCCTTTGTGGGTAGTTTAAGGAGAGGTAAAATTGTGAGATGGTTACTATTATGGGCTTTTAATCATTACTAGTTACTAGATATGTGTCTTTGGATAGATTAGAACTCTCGTGTCACCTCATATAGTCTTCACATCTCTAAAATGGTGAGCATGACGCTTTTGTCATGGTGGAGCTGTGAGGATTAAGTAGATGAATTAATGCACTTAGCACATGACCCAGCCCATGGTAATTGCCCAGTATAGAGGAGCTGCTGGCAGGATTTCTACTAATTAACTGGAAAGGAACACTCATAGAAATTGCTCTCAGATATTTTAAGGTCCTCACTGCCTTTGGCACCAACTGAAGTTTCATTTTGAATCGAGGTTTGGTATTTTTTTCCTCTTCTCATTTTCTAGGCTTGTCTCTTGATCACCACAAGCAATTTAAAGTCTACACTGATTTCTTTTCTCTGATAATTTTCAGCTCAACCTTGCCAGTTTGTTAATGATATGTGCCTAAATTTGGTAATATCCAGTTATTTCAATAAGAAAAATCCTGGAAGTGTTTTTAAAATTTTTTAAATATCTGTACCTCTTGCCATAATTTTGTACGGTTTTAATAATGTTTTTTTTTTTTTAATTTTCCAATTTTTTTTTAAACTCAAGTTTCACCCGAGTTAAGTTGTCATTGGACAATGCCAAGTTGATTTTTCCCTTGTTGTTACCTCATATGCTACAAAGTCGAACTGCCTCATAGAGCTTTCTAGACTACAGTCCTTACCGGAGTAAAATTGCCAATTCCATCTCTTGAGGAGCCACCAAAAAGTTGGTGTGACCAGCCAGTCATTGGACTAACAGCTGAGAGCTTAACTATTATGCCATTAAGGATTACATTACAGTTCAACATTCTCAAACTCTCAATTCAACTCATGGCTGTGAGTTGGAACTGACTCATACGTAGATGAGCTTCCATTGGCTTTCTGAGGCTGTAAATCATCTGGGAGGAGATCCTCTCTCATCCAGAGTGATGTGGCCTATGGATTAGCAGTGCAGCTCCCTATGGATACAGCACCAGAGCTGCCCATCAAATGTTCAGTACCTATAAATGATCTATTATGTGTTGCAGAGCCAATTTTGAAGGGTAATAAAGTAGGAAAAGATGAAGCATACTTATTTGCTAATCATTTCCTATTTTCTGCACACTCCCACTGGGAGCTGGATACTCCTGGCTGAGACTCCTGGATTTGTTACTTATCAGAGGTCTTGAGGATGACACAGGGCAGGGCACAGTTAGGATATATTGTTCAGAGGGTAGCTATGAGTTGGTGTTGACTCAACATGATCTACACCATCACCACCATCATCACCACCACCATCACCACCACCACCATCACCACTGCCACCACCATCACCGCCATCACCAGCACCACCATCACTACCACCACCATCACCACTATAACCACCATCATCACCACCACCACCACCATCACCACCATCACCACCACTGTCCGTGGCCAGTTCCTTGGCCCTTTGAGCTTCATTTTTGCTCACTTGTAGAATAGAGATGTTAAGACTATTTCACATGGATATTTTGATGATTAAATAATACAATGTTTATAAAACCAGCTTGGTTCTCATCATAATACAATTCAGATTTGAGGCTAGTCAGGAACAAACTGTTTCTAGTTCTTGAAATAATACAACTTAAGACTCTTCTCTGTTATGATCTGGGTCCTTGAAGTACTTAAGCCATGTACTGGTGCTTCGTATAATGAGTATGAAAATAAGCTTCTTAGGTATATTTTTGTTTCTTTTCAGTCTCCATCATTGACTTAATGATGCAGAATATGTTGCTGTTATTCTGATTTTATTACCTCAATCCACATTGTTTTGATTGTTTCCAAGAGTACAATCTAGACTTTGGATTTTAGTTTCTTACTTTTGATTCTCACTTTCATCTTGGCTGCTATACTCTGAATTGTGTCTTGATTTAAACCCTCCGATCAGAAGCACACATTTAAATTGTATCTTATCTGCCCGTGTCTTTGTGAGTGTATCTCTTTAACAGACTGCTCTAGCAGTACACAGGGCCTTTCTTACATAGTAGATCAAGCAGTGCAGTTTCTTGTCAGCCAGGCAGAATTTGTTCTGATGTGACAGACTCCTCTGCACTTTCATCCCAGGCCTTTTTACTGTAAAGTAGTCTCCCATCTAAGTGCAGAGTGGTAGCATATTTTATCAAGACAACAATTTTATATTTTTGAGGCAAATCCATGGCAACTGTTAATTGTAGTTACATGTTTTGCAGTCTTATTAGTCATCATATGTAGGCCACAACAGTCACCAACCACTCTGTGTAGCAAGTGTTGCTGTCATCATCACCCTTGTGGTTATTATCAGAATGATTCAGGCGTGGAGTCTGAAATGTTAAGTGCAGTGTGGAATACCTAGAAGCTGCTAAGATTTTTTTCCCCTCAGTTGAGGGAAGTACCTATGGTTTCTCCCTGAGCTTGCTACTTTTTACTGTTGTTAGGGTCAGACAGTGAGTTCTGACTCAAAGCAATCCCATGCACAAGGAGAGAGACCCCAAATAAGCAAAGCTCTTCTGAAAAATAAAAATGAAGTGGGAGAAATGGCACTTGCTGATATAAAAATGTACTACATAGTCATAGTAACCAAAACAACATGGCATTGGTACAATGGCAGACACACAGATGAATGGAATAAATTGAGAACCCAGAAATTAAACCCATCTTTCTACATCTGTCAAGTGATATTTGACAAGGAATCAAAACCTATTGAACGAGGAAATGATAACCTCTTCAACAAATAGTGCTGGCACAACTGGACATTTGCCTGCAGTACACTGATACAACATCTACATCTCGCATCATACATAGGCATCAACTAAAGGTGGATCAGAAACCTATGAGTAAAGCTCAAAATGATTTTTTAAATATAGAACATTTCACGAATTTGTGTGTCATTCCTGCTCAAGGGCCATGCTAATCTTCTCTGTATCATTCCAGTTTCATTATATGTGCTGCTGGAATGAGCACCAAAACCGTAAGGATTTTAAGATATAAGAGGAGATCAAACTTGGAAACTTTAGCCTTTGGCATAAATAGGCTTTGAAACACAGCTAGAAATGTAAAACCAAGAGAGGGCAAAATTGAAAAATGAGACCTTCTAAAATTAAGTCTCTGTGTGCATCAAGACCTTTTCCCAATAGGATGAAAGAAAACTTACAGACTAGGAATAAATATTTGACAATAACATCTCAGACAAGGGTCTCATATAAAAAATTTACAGAATACTGCAAGGCCTCCACAATAAAAGGACTCAGAACCCAATAACAAAATGGGCAAAAGACATGAAAAGTTTTTTTTCCACAAAGGAAGACATTTGGATGACCAACAAACCCTTGAAGAAATGCTCAGAAGCACTAGCAATCAGAAAGATACAAATCAAAACAACAAAATACCATATCACCCCAGCTGCAGGAGCAAAGTTTAATGGGACAGCAAGCAATAGATGTTGGAGAGGATGTGGAGAGATTAGAACTCTCATGCACTGTTGGTAGCATTGTAAAGTGGTACAACCATTCCAGAAGATAGTTTGGCATTTCCTTAAAATACTCAACATAGTAATTCCATATGACTCAGCTCTGCTAGGAATATACCCCAAGGAAATTAGAACTGAGAAAAGAATGGCGATTTATACATCTATGTTCATAACAGTATTATTGACAATTGCAAGAACATGAAAACGGCCCAAATGCTCATCAACAAATGAATGGATTGAGAAACTGTGGTACATTCACTTAATGGAATACTATGCATCACTAAAGAATAATGATTTTGTAAAATAGTGTATAACATGGAAGAGGCTAGACAGCATTATGCTGAGTGATCTAATTCAGTCTCACAAGGACAAATACTGCATAAAACCATTATTGTAAAAATAGGAGGATAATGAGTAAGATATGTATAAATGCCCATAAGGGGAAAGGAGGCAGCAAAAGGGGAAATGTAGAAATCACTAGGATAGTAGAGATTAAGTGGGAGAATTGGTCAGGGGTGAAGGAATAGGAATGATTCAATGGGATCTCAAAGGGCTGGGTATTAGTAAATATAGATATTGATAGTAATTAAGTGTAAAAAATACAATGCCTATGAATGATTGTATGAAACACAATGTAAGTGAAAGATTGCATAATGCAACGCAAATGAATGAAACACAATATACGTAAAAGATTACACGCACCATCCTCTTCTGGGAGAAACCAGTGATCCTCACCTAGTTTAGAGGTTTCCAGAGACCATAAAAAAATAAGACAATGTCTCCTTCCACCTGAAAAAAAAAATACACTCTAGAGGAACCTGTCCTTAGAGAGGGACGTCATGCTTAGGAGGGTGGAAGGACAGCACAAGAGAGGAAGACCCTGAATGAGATGGATTGACTCCATGCCTGGGGTAATGAGGGTGTGTGTGTCAGCGACACTAAGATTGACTCAGGACAGAGTAGGGTTCAAAGCTGTTGTACATAGGGTCGCTGTGAGTTGCAGGTGACTTGACGACACATAACAACAACAACAACAACAACAACAACAACAACAAGCTTAACCACTAAAAAAGCCACAAAACAAAAACAAACCCAACTTTGAATAAATACTTTTAACTTGGGGTCACACAGTGTAGAGATTACTATCTCTGGATATTTGTGTCTGGGTCTGTTCTTATTAAAATATTCCTGTTATTTCCCCAAAAAGCCAAGTTGGAGAAAAATAATCTTTTTATGCCTTTCCTTTCCCAGGCTTATCAGAAAGGAGCTGCTCCTAAAAGTCGACTTCTTCCAGCTGGTGGGAAGGTGTTGACCTCAGAAGAGGAGTATATTTTGTTATCTGATCGACATTTCCCAGACCCTGTTGGTGAGTGGCTGAGTAGTTTTTCTCGAGTTAAAAATATCTAAACATGCTTTGTTTGGCTAGACCCTGGTTCTCAACAGAGGTGGTGGGAAGAGGACCCAGGAGGTGGTATGTGGGATGGATCTCTGCCTCCAGGGACATTTGTCAAAAATCTGGAGACAATCTTACAATCCATAGGTAGGACAACCCCACAGTGAACACTGGGGTTGAGAAAGTTTGGGATAGATCAATATGCTTTATAGACTATCAGAAAATGTGATTTTTTAAAATTAAGGACAGCATTGTGCCTCTTCTATTTCACTGATTCATACTCATACTCTAATACACAAGATACCTTCAGGCTTTTGGAATATATTGCAGGCTTTGATAACACTGGGCAGGGCAGCACAAATAAACAAGTGAGCCCAGTCTACCGCACATCTTTCTTATCTTTTGGTAAGCGAGCCTAAACATGTAAGTTGTTGTGTGCCATCAAGTTGGCACCAACTCATAGCTGACTCCCCCCGCCCCCTGCCCAGTGGGTTTTCAGAGGCAGTAAATTGCACAAGAGGAGATTGTCCATCCTTCTCCTACAAAGCAGCTCATGGATCCAAACCATGTTCTTTTAGGATTGAAGCACAGTTTCTTACCAGTAGGACACCAGAGCTCCCTTGGGATATTGTTTTTCCAATTTTAGGGTGATAGACTATAAAATATCCAGAACTGATAAAATATTATAAACAAGTGTTACAATAACTCTTATATAAGTATTTTTTTTAAAGAAAAACCCAAATCTCCAAAGCATTGTGTTAGTTAGCATATATACATAAGTGATAGTGTCTGTGGCAATTGGACAATTAAAACAGACATTGGGTGGTGGGGGGGAAAGAAGAACGAACTGGGGAGGAGGGTGGAGAAAACAGTGCAATAATGAATGAATGAAAACCAAAAATCTCTGTAAATGTTCATTAAAACTAATAAAATTTTATAAAAAAAAAGAAATAAGTGATAGTGTCATCATGGAAAGAACATTGAGATGAGAATTGATAGATTGGATTTTTATTTGGTTCTAACTGCACCATTTGTCAACTTTCTTACCTAGAGGCAATGCTAAACTCTGGATTTTTGTTTCTCCTCTCTCTAAAGTGAGGGCTTAAACTTTAAGATCTTTAAGGACCTTCCCAGCTCTCACATCCTTAGGTTCTCATTTATTTCACTTTTTGCCCTGTCAGGAAGGTGATGGATAGACTCTCGAGCCTCGAACAGGGCATTTCACAGAGATTTATGAACTGTAGATAATGTGATCACTCCATCTGGCTGCATGTAAATCATATTGCACAGTAATTACTTGGTTTCTTGAGAGAGATCTCATTCTTATTAGTGAGTATAATCACTTCATTAGAATTTATGGAGAAAATAATCATTTTATCAATTGTTATTTTGGTGCAGAAACGCTTAACATAGTGTTTTTAATAACACGGTTATGGGATTAGTACATGGACCATAAAGCAATATTAACAAAATATTACTAAATAATTCAAGCTAACACAACACTTTATATATACTATACACGTTATGGTATTTTCTAATTTGAATGCTGCTTATGTGTTGTCTCGCTCTTGGAGCTGCAGCTGGAAATGGGAATACATAGCTGGCTGCTCTTCAGAACTTTCCTATGAAATCAGTCAGAACAGACAATATAGTTATTGATTTATTGATGGAATCATGTCAGAAGGAATGAAAAAGAAAAAGAAGCATCAGGCTTGTGTGACTAATAGCAGTTGGCCTAGGGCTTTAGATTGGGGCATTTCAATGACTTATTTATTGCATGGCATGGCCTTCTGAGTCTTAAAAATAGGATATTCTACAGTAGATCATTTGTGATGTGCTCATAACTCAATTCTGAAAAAATGCAGGCTGATAAAATCTGGAAAATTAGTGTCAAAGGTTAAATAAGAGGTAACAAGAGGCCAGTCAGAATAGATTTTTCCAGATCTTGCTGCACCTTTTATGTGCAAAGGGTCAATGTTGCTTTCAGTTATTTATAAAAATTGCAATATCTTGGAAAGAAAGGGCAGGTTGAAATGTTTCACAAAAGGCTGTTAATCAAGAAAACTCTGCACTGGTAGCCCAGAGGGAAGAACTATTGTTGCTTAAAAAAAGAAAGCACTAGAGACTATGGATAAATACATCTTTATAGAGTGTTCTCAAAGATGATATATCACAATGCCCTATGCTCTTGTCTAAAGTAATTCTTTGGCTCTTTATTAGTATTTGGTTTGCTGCATGCAACCGTTATCTCAAATTAATTATATAAGATTTTATTCTTTCATGGAAAATATTAGGGCATCAACACTCTAGGGGAAGTGTGGCAGCTCCCTAAAGTGGTCAGGACTCTGGCTTTTTGTAACATTCTCCTTTCTCTCAAGCTTGTGCCTTTTATTGGTGTAGTCCCAGGTGACTTCTGTAGCACCAGGTATTTTTTTTTTTTTCATTTTAGGTGACAGGAAAGAAGAATAGAGAAGGAGCTGAGTGTACATTCTTCCTGTAAGGATGTTACAGCAAGTCCACTTACCACTACTCTTCACATGCCATTGGTTAAGACTTTATGACTGTGGGCACATCAAGCTGCACAAAAAAGCTGAGCATATATCATCTTTATGTAGGCACTTGCCCAACTAAAAATCACTGGTCTTGTTACTGAGGAAAGGAGAGAACAGATAATGGATTAGGTCTATGGATCTCTGCTTCGCATTTGGTCATTCTCTTACCTGTCTGTTCATACATTGATCCATAATTTGCTACTAGTACTAGGCATTGTCCTTGTTGTCTGTGAACCACACCTGCACTTCTAGCACATTCTACTATTTATTTCAGATTTCAGGACTCTGAAACAAAACTCTCAAGTATGCCCTTGGAAATTTGTGCTTTGTCTAAGCCAGTCTTGGTTTATTAATTTTTCAGTATTATGATTCCATTTTAGAGCCTCCTTTCTGGTTACAGTCCACATTTTTTTTTGAATGCTTAGTGCTTGCATCCTGGAAAGCCTGAGACTAGTATTCATGGTGTTGAGAAGGAATATAGAACTAACTCATTCTTCTACTTGTTCTTTATGTCCCTGGATGTAAGCTGGAGACATGTATCCAAGCACAATATCATAAAATTGGGATGCATGGAAGGGAAAAAGACTTGAGTTGTTGTTGTTTTTGAGTACCTTCAAGTCAAAACCAACCCATAGCAGACATTCCAGAAGGCTATTGGAGGCAGTTTATCACATGGGAGGAGATTGCCCATCTTTTTCCTGTGGAACAGCTGGTAGCTGGTGGATTCGAACCATATGCCTTTAGGATTGTAGCACAGCTTGTTACCACTATACAACCAGAGCTCCCTTAAGACTAGGGTAGATGATCTAATTAGTAAACATGACTGTCTGTGGATTTGTTTTGAAGGAAGAAGTAAAAGTACTATGGTTTAGGACTTACAGAATTTTCTAAGGTAATGTAGTGTATTCATGCATCCAACAGAAGTGGAGCTGAACATCTACTAGGTCTATAACTACACTGTTAGCCAAGGATACAAAGAAGAGTAATACAGTCGATCTTCCTGTTCTCAAATCCCAGTCTAGAGCAGTGGTTCTGCGAAGGTGAAGGCAGCACATGAGAAGTAGTACAGCATCCTATCTCATTTTCCACCTCCAACCCTCATCATGGGTGTCATACTCAGAAACAGATCATTACAATTTTTTGGACGAAGAAAGCATAGAGCATCCATTCTTAATCTGGTATCAGGGGAGGTAGCAGAAAAGGCAGCTAAAGAAGGTGGCTTCGAAAAGGCTTTTTTATGCTGAGTGAGAATTTTCTGTGTGAAAACGCAATGGAAGGGAAAAAAGAATGAAGTGAACTGCAGGGACAATATATAAAGTGTCACGGAAGAATGAACACGCCTAGGGAATTTTATCTATATTTAAATCTCCAAAGCTCCCGTGGCTTGGTGGTAAGAAGTTTTGCTGCCAACCCAAATGCAGGAAGTTTGAATCCAACCTCTGCTCCTTGAGAGAATGATAGACAATCTCCTTCTTTGTGATTTCCAGCTTCTTAAAATCTGTTGGAGGGTCATCTATGAGTCAATTTTGACTTGGTGATCCATAACAATATATCTCTATCTATGGTGATGAAAGAAGAGTAGATGCCTTTGAGCTGTGGTGTTGGCGAAGAAAGCTGAAGATCCCATGGACTGCCAAAAGAACAAAAGCCATGTATTGGAGGAGGGGCAGCCAGAGTGCTCCTTGGACGCAAGAATGATGAAGCTTAGTCTCACACACTCTGGACATGTTGCTAGGAGAGGTTATTCCTTGGAGAGGGACATCATACTTGGGAAAGCGGAGGGGCAATAAAAAAAGAGGGACTCTAGACCACGTGAGTTGACAAGGTGACTGAGGCAGTGGGCTTGAATATGTCAGAGATTGTGAAGTTGGCACAGGATAGGACAGTGTTCAAGGTTTACAAGGTTGCTATGATTCGTACTTGACTCAACAGCACCCAACAACAACAATGGTGTTGAGTATGACCATGATGACTATGGCTATGTTTAGATCTCTTTCTCTTCTATCTATCTATCTATCTATCTATCTATCTATCTATCTATCTATCTATCTATCTATCTAATCTCTGTCTCTCTGTCTCTCTCTCATCTATCTAATCTACCTACCTGTCTACCTTCCTACCTGCATAGAGCAGAAATCTGCCCAGACCAAGGTAAAAATCATCATTTGAGAGACAGCCATCCAATCAGTAAATCCTGGAGAGAGAGAGAATTGCTCTTGAAAGTGAAGGGGAAAGCATGATTTCCAAAGAAATACCTATAAGAATTAGAGCAAAAGATGTTTCAGATCAGATGAAGTGAATGGGTAATAAAGGAGAAACCATAAATGGAAAGCTAGGATGGCTGTAGTGACCTCAACAGTAAGCATTTTGGAGCTGATGGAGCAGAAATTCGATGAGAGAAGGTTAGAAGTTGATGGAGTGATGGCAGAGTGAAGCTCTGTTGGGAGAAGGTTTGCTGCTATAACAAAACAACACAAAGTTTCCTTTGAAGAACAGAACTATGTTTTCTCACAGTTCTGGGGGCTAGTTGTTTTTATTCAGGGGTTTGACTAGAGGAAGATCCTTCCTTGTCTCTTAGCTCCTGTGACTCTGGGCATTTCTTGGTTCTCTTTGGCTTGCTGGCAAATCCTTACATGCTCTCTTCTCTCTGCGTGTAACTCTCCTTTTATAAAGCATCCCTTGAGAAAGATTAGGAGCCTCCCTACTTCAGGATAAGCAGCTTGGTGATACAGTCATTAAGCATTAATTGCTAACGGAAAGATTGTTGGTTTGAACTCCCCCACCACTTCATGGGAAAATGATGTCTAATTCTGTAAAGACTGCAGCCTTGGAACCTCCATGGGGCATGTCCACTCTGTCCTATTGAGTGCTATGCATTGGGATCTACCTGAAAGCATTGACTTTCATTTTATGGGACTCTAGGAAGACCTCCCAATTGGATGGATTGACACAAAGACTGCAGCAAGGGGCTCATGTGTCGGAGATGATGAGGATAGGGCAAGGCTCAGGTCTGTTGCTCATAGGGTTGTTATAATTCTTACTACACTCAGTGGCACTTAACAACAACATCATTGTCATAACCTCTTTAGTTTAGTTGATAACATCTGCAAGAAAAGCCTTATTTTGCCCAAACAAGACTGTATTCCTAGAAGTAGGAGTTAGGTTTTCCTTATTTTGGGGACAGATAACATTAAATCTGAAAGTTACCTTCCTCGTTGGGAAGAAATGTTTGAAAGAATAAGAGTGATCTCTGGTGGCCTGGTGATAAGGAGTTGCACTGCCAATCGAAAGGCATCTGGTTTGAACCCACCAGCTGTTCTGCGGAAGAAAGATGGACAATCTCCTTGCTGAACAATTTGCAGTTTTAGAAATGCAATTGGAGGGCTGTCTGTGAGTCAATTCCAACTCAATGGTCGATAATAACAGCAATAATCTTTGTAGGTGTAAGCCAATTGCTGGGTGTTTCCCCGTGGCGTGTGGATCTGCTGTTAAGTTTGACTTGTAAACGTTTAGGTTTGCAGCTGCGCACTTAATCACTGCATTGCCAGGGCTCCTTCTAAATAGAAGATGCTGGTTTTAAAACATATTTGTGTTTCCAATAATCTCTAGCATCCACTGAGAAGGAGAATGTCCAGCCCTTTGTGGTGCTGCCGAAGCCATTCCCAGTGTACCTGTGGCAGCCGTTCCTCAGACATGGCTACTTCTGCTTCCAGGAGGCCGCTGACCAGAGGAAGTTTAGTGCTCTGCTGAATGACTGCATCAGACATCTAAATCATGGTAAGGCTTTTCCTGGTTCCGCCTGTGGGTTACTTTTCCTAACCTGTGATTCTTTGAATGAGCTCTAGAAGGTACTGACCCAGGGTTATTAATGGTGGCAAAGAGGGAAACCAGGTGAAGCAAGGGGGTTTTAGAGGAGTGTGGTCTGCATGCTGGTCACCTAGTCCGATCGGAGAAGGCTCAGTGTGGACAGAACAGGGACCACCTGGAGGCAAGGGCAGGCTGTTATGTATTCAAGATACACCTTCTTCTCCTTTTTCTTGATTTAAAATAAAAATCTAATTGCTAGCAGGAATGTGCTTGTATTCTGTGGCAGAATCCTAATTATGGTGACATTTCTGGTTTATTCCTACTTCAATTTCACAGTAAAAGTAACTTACTCTCCACTTAAGGAGAGTTAGTTTGACTCAGTGGCAACAACACTTAAGATCAGATATTGTTACTTGTATTGTAATGTTCCCTCCCCCATTATTAGTTCTCTAACATTAGGGTATAGATAATCATCTGGATTCTTTAAGCACAGATTATTAAAGTACAAGTTTCTGGGCCCTGCCCAAGACAGTGTGGTTCACTGGGTCTGGAGTGGATCCAGAATTGACTTTTTTAACAAGCTCCCAGAGATGTAGATATTCCTGGTCCATGGGCTACACTTGGATTAGCATTACTTCAGAGGCATAGCAGTGCCCCTACACATGGATTTGATTAATACTACTTTCATTTTAAAAAATAAAAAGGTTTCTTTCTCCCATGTGATGTTTTTGGCAAATTGCTATGAATGCTGGTTTTTCTGGACTCCGTAAAGCCTTTGGTTGGAAGTAATTAACGTTACTATTAATCGTGTACCATGGAGTTGGAAGAGACCCACAGCTGACCCTCCAGTGGGTTTTCAGAGGCAGTAAATCTCACAGGAGGAGATTGCTCATCCTTCTCCTGTCTTACTAATTATCAGTTGGAAATGCATCCAGTCAGCTGACTGTTCTCACTTGGTCAGTCTCTGGGGATTTCTCTCTCATTGCCATCGATTAACCTTCCAGCAAGCTTTCAGGCTGTAACTAGCACATGAGGAGACTGCTCATCTTTCTTTCACGACTGGTGGATTTGAACTGTGTACCTTTGGGTTGTCAGTATAGTTCTTTACCTGCTAAGCAACCAGAGCTTCCTCTATGTGTGTTAAGAACAGAATAATAGACCATGCAAAGCTCCTCTCTCAGGGACTCTAAATCCAAGCTGGGATGCTGATAAACACATACACAAACACATACATAAATTGCTAGTTATAAAAATCAGTGTGTCACAGCATTAACTAGAAATTAATGCCTGTGGTAATTTTGGCACGTCCACTAGAGGCCTCTTTGAGGAGGTAGCCTTTGAACTAAGTTCCTCATCCATTTGGATCTGTTTCTTAATATGGCTAGTGCCATGGTACTCTTCCTTTCAAACTCTATAGTTTTCCCTGATAGAGTCAGTCCCTCAGAGCGAGAGTCACTAGTAAGGAATTTCAGCTTGTTCTTAGTTTTGTTTGTGTATTGATAGGAGGCTAATGGAAAAAAGAGAATGTCACTCTTTTCTGCTATAGCAACTCAGAGTACATCGGTCATAATTTTGGCTCCTAACTTTGAAGAACCTTTATAAAAAGAATGCCCCTATTAATATCTTGCCTTGTGGTTCTGCTATTTTAGTCACAGAGAATGGCACTGCACTCCCGGCTCTGCCTGGCTTCTTTTTCCAGTACACCTACACCTCTGTGTTCCGGGCTCTGGTCTAGTGTGGACACGCAGCTGGCACTAAACACAGGGACCACAAAATTTCAGTAAGAAGAGAATGTTCCCTGCCCAGCCAGATGGGACTTGCTGCATTCTCTCTTCCATGTACATAATAGGAATTTCTCTGGGGAGAGTTTGGATGTTATGTCGCTTGCATTCAGTGTCCTTTTATGGAAGATTTCCGTTGATTCAAAACTCTACTCTGTGCTCTAGTATGTTATCAAAGGCACTAAGAGAAGAGGGTCTCATTAAGTTGTTTTGGTTCTAAGTCACATTCCTACCTCGAAAAGCTGGTCACTGAGGCTTCATCTACATTTAATAAAACTTCTAATAGTTTGGGCCAGAACCAGAGAACCAGAGACCATCATAGCATTGTGGGTTAAGGGAGCTCTGGTGGCCTAGTGGCAAGAAGCTGCACTGCAATCCCAGAGGTATATGGTTCAAATCCACTAGGTGCTCTGCTGGAGAAGGAGGGGCAATCTCCTGCAGTACAAGTCAGATCTGATTTGATGGTACACACACAGACACACAAAATAAATAAATAAAATTAAAAAAAAACCAAAACAAACCATTGTGGGTTAGAGTCCTTGACTACCAGGATTCATGACCTCATGCGTCTTTTCCCTCCAGCCTCTGTTTCTCTGTTTTTAAGAATGCAATATACCACTCATCTTTAAAGACTTTTGCATCTTATACTAAATCACTTTTTTCCACTCTCTCTGTTATTCATAGTATGATCATGAGTAAACCACTAAGATGTTTTCACAAGCTGTCGGTTAACTATACATCCAGAATAGTTTATTCTGCAGAAAAAAAAAATAGTTTATTCTAGAAAAAAGTTTAGAAAGTAGGACTGTGCTATGGGGCAGAGACCCTAAGGTCTTGGATGAATTGAAGAATTCAGGAACATTTTTTATCTTCTTACATGGTCATGTAATTATCTTGAGTTGAAAGAAGTGACAAATTAATAATCATTGATACATATGTACAGCCCTTTATATTTATCAAGAGTTCTAATTGTATCCCTAACTACACTGACTATATTTTCAGTCTGGACTTCTGAAGACCAGGGCTGAATTGTGGATAATAGGACTGCCTTGGAAAATCTTGGCTATGAACACACACACACACACACACACACACACACACACACACACACGTATATATATCACAAGAGAAGAATGGACAGTCTCCTCTGATGCGATATAAGCCTCTGAAAACCCACCAGAGGGTCAATTATGGGTCAATTCCGACTCGATGGTACACCACAGCAACATATATCTATATGAATGAACTATTTGCCATTGACTCTGACTCATGGTGACCCCTATGTGCCTCAGAATAGAAATGTGCTTTGTAGAGGTTATTTTCCTTAATAGTGTTGTGTTAAAGTGAAAGTTTATACAATAAATTAGTTCCTGATTGAAAAATTTCTACACTGAAAATTGTTCAGTGGCATTGGTTCCATTTCTTGGGATGTGTCAACATTCTCATTTCCATTTTCCTTGTACTATTTTTGGTACTCTCGTTTCCCTGCCTTCCTTTTTCCATATCTTTGCTTTAGAGTCATTGTTGACCATTGGGACTGATAGAGATGATTTTTTTTGAAGGCATTTCTGACCTACAGGTGATATCTTCATTTTATATGCTAGTCTTTTGATCAGCCTGTCTTTGACTCACCATTCTTTATGTTGATACCTGATCAATTGTCATTATGCTTTCTGTATTTTCATGGCTGCTAGTCTGCTTTTGGAAGCACATAATAACCATTTCTGTAGAATTTTAGCTGATTTTTGTCATGACATTTTAAGAATTAAATTCATTGGTTACACAGCCATTGCCCCCCCAAAAAAAATGAGGCTGAAGTACTTCATTTCAGAGAGTCTGACTGCCCCTGGTTTCCTGTGATTCTCAAGCACAGGCTTCCTCACAACTAACCATTTGCTCTCCTTGTTCCACATCCTTGAACAGAACTTTTACTTGAAAGTCTTTGCTTCCCCTTTCCATTGATGGACAGTTTCTCTTCTTCAAGGACCAACTTCAGTGGGACCCATGCTATGAAGGCACAGTGATTACTTCTTTGGAGCAATCACTAGATTCTGTTATCAACCCCACCAAAGGAATACTAACTAGGGAGCTCTAGTGGCTTAGTTGTAAGGAGTTGCACTCTCAATCCAAAAGCGTGAGGTTTGAATCTACCGGCTGCTCCATGGGAAAAAGATGGTTTATCTCCTCCCTTAAGATTTACTGTCTCTGAAAGCCCACTGGAGGTTCAGCTATGTGTCAGTTCTGATTCAATAGTACATAATAATAAATTCTCACTGCATTCTGCCTTCATTTTCATGTCTGTCTAATTTCTCAACTGCATGCCAACTCCTCAAGGGGAAAAAAAATCATACTTTATGGGGTTTTTAAATCCTTTTTTTTTATGGGTAATATATTTGTGTTTCAGAAAAATGGTTCAGAAATAATATTGAACTTTTGTTGTTGTTATATACCATCCAGTTGGAACTTAAAGCTGACCTTCCAGTGGATTTTTAGAGTCAGTGAATCTCATGGGAGGAGATTGTCCATCTTTCTCCCACAGAACAGCTTGTGGATTCAAACTATATGCCTTTGGATTGACAGTGAAACTCTATCATTAGGCCATTAGTGCTCCCCAGTGAAGTAATCATTATAATTTTTATTGTTGTTAGTATCATCGAGTCACCTGTGAGTCATAGTGACCCCATGTACAGCAGCTCTGAAGCCTGCCCTGTCCTGAGCCAGTCTCCCTGACTCTGACACACCAACCTCTGTTGCCCTAGTTACTATAACATCCATCTCATTCAGGATCTTCCTCTCCTGCATTGCCCTCCACCCTTCCGAGCATGATCTCCTTCTCCAAGGACCCGGTCCCTCCTGGCCACGTGCCCAAAGTATGTGAGACAAAGCTTCGTATAATTATTATGTTCAATTATAAAATTGAAGAAAGATAATTTAAGAATTTAAGTGTGACTTTATATAAGCGGATTCTAAATGAGTTGGCCTAATGCATAAACATATTGGCAAGAATGAATGGAAGAATTGATCAGTAAACCCACTGTGCTCAGCCTAAGTGACCAGATGTTAGAAGGCAGCCTTGATGGCGTCTCTGAGACTGAGGCAAAATGCTGGCAAAGATCTGCCCAGTAGTACTATTATAGTGTGAACAGCAGCCATACTGCCACTGAACAAATGCCAGTATCAAAATCATCC